ATGTCAAAGCTAAAACGTCTATGAGCTATCTCTAATGTGTTAATGATTTGTCCAGCTTAAGTCCAGTCAGAATGAACCTTTCATATTCATATTGATGATATTGACCTCCTTACAAAATGCGTGAGCACTTTGGATGCTGTCAATGCCCCTATATACAGTTCTTCAACTGTGGGACCTCTAGCATGTCTGAGAGAGAGGAGAGGAGAGGAGAGGAGAGGAGAGGTCAGCTATGTATTTGGTTCAAGACTGGCCTGGTTTATATGAGACCCTGCCTAAAAAAAAGAAAGAAAGAAAAAGAAGAGAAAAAGAGAGAGAGAGGAGAGAAACTAGAGCTCATCATTACCATGAAAGTATAAAATAAATGTTGAAAACTTAAAAAAAGAATAATTATCAAAGATTGAGTGCAGATGGTAGAAAAGGTTAGGTCTGGAGGATTCTATGATGGAGCTGAACTGACAGATGCGCAGAAGTTGACAGCTCACATGGCTCACAATGGCTTTTCTTTTAAAAAAATTATAAACAAAATAAAACCAACAGAGCATACTGTCCCTGCTGTCTTCTAATGGAATCACTATGTAGACTGCGTTTGCTTCCTGGTGGCTCCATGGATCTTCCCTGATAAGCCCCAGGTTCATTACCGTGGAACAAATGCTTAGGGAGACCTCTTTTCCCATGTCTAGACGGTGTTGGTGAAAGACTTCAGTAGTGCTTAATGGTGGTAGATTTCTGGACTCTTATTACTCCTGTGGTGATGAGCTCTGACTGTGTTTTCAAGATTGTGGAAAATTCAATGTTACAGATGGTTGTTCTTGGCATACATTATCAATATACAGAACATCTCAAAACTATTACAATCATATGGTAAACAAAGCAAGATTCTAATCCTGACTATGCATGAACTAGACAAAATTAATCTTGAATTATACACTTATCAACTAGTTCACATAGTCATGGGAAACGTCTTTATATTAAAAGAGCATCAGAGGGCTGAGGTGATGACTCACTGGTTAAGAGTGCTTGCTGCTCTTGCAGAGAGGTTCAGTCCCCAACACCCATGTCAGGAGTCTCACAACTGCCTATAACTCCAGCTCAAGGAGATCTGACGCTCTCTCCTGACCCCTGTGGGGTGCCTGCATGCGTGTGCACAGATCAACACCTGTGTACACACATACATAATAAAAGTAAATCTTTAAAAATTAAAAATATTTTTATTGATTCAGGAATTTTATACAGTGTATTTCTCAGAGCTGCCACACTTTCACCCCCGTATTTCTAACCCCAGTTCACGCCCTCCACTGTAATGTGTGTCTTCTTTTTTGGGAGGGGATTAATGGGCTTGTGTATTTTAATTTTTTAAAAAATAATTTATTGAGAATTTCATACATGCATATAAGGTGTTTTGATCAACTCCCTCCCCTCCATCTCCTCCCATATCTCCCCATCACTTTTTTCTGGTAACTTCTTGTGCTCTTTCTTCTTCTCTTTTTTTTTAATGGAGCTTTTGGCTACTCTAACATCCCGCCCTCTGAAGAGGGGACCCTAAAATCTTTTAAGGATTAGATACTTTTGTGATTTTTGGCCTTTGGAACAGAGGATGTTGCTAAGAGGCCCAAGGACATTTTGACTTTTAGCCCAGAAACTGGCTACTTTTCTTTGGGGTCTTTTTACCCCAGCAGC